GGTGGTGGAGGAGGTGGTACATATGGCTTTGGTGGAGGAGGAGGTGGTACGTACGGCTGCGGTGGAGGGGATGGCGGTACGTAAGGTTGTGGTGGCGGAGCCGGTGGTACATATGGCTGTGGTGGCGGAGCAGGTGGCACGTACGGTTGTGGTGGCGGAACGTAAGGCGTTGGAGGCTTTATGTACGATGGCCGTCCATATGAGCTTCGCTTTGTTCTGGAAATGTGTGGGATTCAATTAAGGGTCACACTGCTAGTTATCCTGATAATGGTATCGTAAGTTTTGAGAGTAACTCTAATGCGGCCTTTCGCCTCAGCAGTAAGAATCGTGCAAGAAATACAAGGTCCGGCACAGATCGTAAAAAGCATAAAATCAGCAAAAGTCAGAGAGACTTCGTTTTTAAAAAGCCTAAAAGAAGAAGCGTAGGGGATAACGTTTTCGTGAATCCGAAATACATACAAGTTTCGAAAATTAGAGAGGCTTCGTTTTAAAAAGCCTAAAAACGGCCTTATGCCGGCGGCAAGAAAATGCGGTCTGACTTGGGCTAACTTTTTGCGTTCAGCTCGCTGAATTCTGAAAAATTGTCAATAAGCTTTTGCGAGACCGCTTGCTCTCCCATTTCTCATAAAAGTTTGAGCTGATATGAAAACTAGACGAAAAAAGGAGATGGTAAGCCACCCCAAAACTCCATCACCTATAAATCTGCGAGCGGGGTGCGAAAAGTGAGCAAGATACACTTTCCGGCCTCACCCGCCTCGGTGATTAATTAAGTTATGACTACTAAATGCTAAAGTAGAACCTACCGTGGCAAAATAGCGGATTCACCAAGGAAGAACACATTCAGCAGAATTAAAGTGAACATCTGCCCCATTCTTGCGCAGCTCCGGCAAGGTGCACGTACTTCTACTTATATAGCCTAGGTGCTGATTCGATTTCGCGAACAGGAGAGGTTGGCATGAATTGAAGGTGCGACAAAATAAAAGTTCTTCATGGGGTAGAATGAGTCAGACTTGAATTGTCCTTGTTTGAAAAACTGTGCTGCGCGCGCTATATTACTTCTTCATGAAGTAATTGGACTTTGCGGAAGACGAATGTGAGAAAAACAAGCTCTTCGGCGATTGCGGTGCTCCGTCGCGACTGCAGCGATCTATCAGAATAAGAGGAAACCATCGAATATGACGTCGACGGATGATTCATAGTCATCAATACATCATGGAACAATGAACTATAGGATGCGCATTATGTCTGA